CGCTCAACAGCATCCATGCCAGATTAATCACGCATGTGCAAAATAGAACAAGTTGTAGATTTATGTATAAAAATATTTGGATTTGAGCAAATCTAAACCAAGAAAGAATAGAGGGAACGAGTAACCTACATTGCAACAGCAAAGCACATGAGGCTGACACACTTGGCTTGTCACTGGCCTTGCAAATGAGAGACAGTCAAAAGAACAGGGTAGTAGGGAATTTCATTCGGAGTTCGGGTTGTAAAAGGTCTTTTACAGACAAGACTGGCAGAACTTCCAGTTAAATAAAGGCACTTTCATCTGCAATGCTGATGCTCTTTTAATTCTACCAAGAACAGTCTCTTCCTTTTCCCTACCAAAGAGAATTTGATAGTTACTTGGTGTCATTAACATCTCTACAAGACACCAATAACTGCAGAATGATACAGAGAAAAAAGCAGAACATCTGTTCACTGTCCTTTATTTCTGTCCCAGACACACATCTTTCTAAGGACATGAACAATTATAATTTTATTATCTTTAATGTCTTCCTCATCAATTTTCATTCTACTGTCTGTCCCAGCTGAGATGTATTGCGCAATAACACTATAAACTCTTTTTAATCCTGCTGTTATTTCAGCCCACATTGATTTATTGTGGATCCTGAGCTGACAAGTATAATATTTCCCATTCCACAACAAAAACTCTGTCTCTAGCTTACTTTATATTCTGTTATTTCAGAATATAATCTGAATCTATTCAGATCCCTAGAATATGACTTTTATAGTTTCTGCAACAAAATCCCTATTTGTTTAGTTTTTAATGTACATTTCAATTTTCAGGGATTTTAATAAAAACCATTTTTATTAATATGCTGTTTTCATAAAAACAACAAACACTGAACAGATTCCATCTCTGTAAGAAGAAAGATAATGTCATATATGGTGCCTTACCTCAGTTTGACCTTAATTCAAAGAAACACTTCTATTCAGAACAGTATGTTTGCCACATGCTGAACATTACGCATATGCCTAAGCCCCACTGAAGATGAAGTACATGAGTCGTTGGAGACAGAGATGTTTCACAGCAATCAAACATAAAACTTGTTAATAGAAAACATTACGGTAGATAAACTTCAATGCATCAGATAATGCACATCTAAAATAATAAAAGTTGAATTAAGCCATTCTTGTATTTTCTCATACCAAGAAAAAGATATAAATGCCACAGACCATATAAAGACTTCAACTTAGTGTTTGTCACTGTTCTAAGGCAAACAAGCTAGCATAACTTAATAAAGGATAAGACAGAAAACACTATAAATCATCGGTTTCTGTTACTCACAACAGTTGTGGCCACCATATTTCCAGAGAACACAACAGATGATATGAAATAATGATTTTTACAAACAAAAAACCATGAGGCACTACTATTGCATAATGAAAAAAATTAAACTAATATCTAATGATTCTGAAAGACAGCAAAACTGAGCAAGTAGAATTAAAAGCACAGTAACTCATGAAAGGGAAAAGAATTATCCCATTATTCTGATCAAAATCAGATATTACTGAGGCCAACATCACACAAAAGGAAATGAGTAATTGTATGGAAAATCACAATACCTGCATTTGAGACAGGGCTGGAAATACTGTAAAGGAGTATTGTCATGATACTGGATCACAATCCAACTACTGTGCATATCAAGAAAAATATTCTCATGTACACAAATTATTCTATAAAGTCATTAAGTTTTCACGTACCTGTTTCATACATATTTAGTTTTGCCCCTTGTAAGATTTAACTTCATGAATTTGATCAGATATGAAACTTTCTGTGTAATTATCTACAGTTTTAAAATCAGTAATTAACCACAGTTTTCATCCTTTTGTTTGTGGCATCATAGACTCTATAGTAACCCAGGTTTCTGGGAAATTTAAATAGTTGAATGAAGTCATGACCTGATATGATGTTATGGTGCCACCTTGTGATGTTGCATCAGAAGTGCCTCTAACATGTACAAGGAGACAAAAATAGCCCTGGGGGGAAAAGGAAAGGAGACTGTTTCTATGCGATTGCGAAAAACTGCAAGAGATTCCAACACTGAGTCTGTTGACAGAGAGGAGCATGTGGTTATCGACTGACAAAAGAACATTCAGCATTTTAAGATTACATTAAAAAGGGCATGAGAGAGCACAAAGAACTGCAGCAAAAAACCAACTGCTTTCCTCAACACAGATCCAATTACAGACATGTGAGTTAATTCCACTGAAGTCAGCAGAGTTACTGAAGATTAATATGGAATTAATGAGGATCAGATTTTGGCCTGCAGGCTGTTATAAATCTGGCTTACATTATTCCCTTAAAACAATGATAAACTGAAGTGTGTCAATAAATAACTTGGCTATTACATGCTTTTCAACCGTGTTCTATTCATTTCCACCAGCTCCTTTTTGTCCCTAAGATGATGTGAGTGTACAAAAACTAGAGATAACACACACTTAGCTACTTTAATAGCGGCTTTAGATAATAGTTTTCCTTTTCCTTTGTCCATTTTTGAAGGCAAATATAGAAATGTCCGTTCATATTTAAGGGCTTTTTTTGCAATACAAAATGTATGTCCTCTTGCTTTTAGGCCAAATCCAGAATTGTTTTAAATTTAAATCTCTTTTACTCTTTCAGTTTCTTTCTAAATTGCCTGTTAGTTCCTTTTGAGTAAGCCTGGTTGAAGAAACACTTGTTAGTGAATTCGTAAGATTCTGCCAATAATGCTATTGCAGAAATGCAGCTGTTTTTTTACCTCATTAACATTATTGAAATTTGCAATCCATCACGCTGCACTCCTATTCACTCAATACTCTTGCTATAATAAAAGTTTCAGTCATAAGACATCCAGCTACAGACAACTAAGAAACTGCAAATACAAAGCTTCTATAGAAATCCATCCCTTACCTTCCTTTGCCATCAGGTGATATAACAACTTACCTACTACTAGGTAGGATTATTTTGCTCCAGAAGCATTTAGAATACATCTCTCTCTCAAACTCCAGGAACATACTACGTTGCTCAGGTTTTTGTTACAGGAAATGAACATAAGTCAAGGAAATAAAGGGAGTTAGGACAACTGCATACATTTGTATCTGCAGTATTATGCAAGAATTCTCTAACTGTGGACAAGAATATTCCTTCACAGGGTGCTCCTGATTTCTTTTTGTTTCTCAGTTCAGATGGATGACTCCAGGGTTAAATATCTGACTGCAAGCCCAAGTGCCTCTTCAACTGTTTTGGGACTTTCAGGTCAGGGAGGACATAGGGAAACAACACACTTGAGCACATTCCAAGGCAACCGAGGTCTTCCTTTAAGTGGGGAGAATGATCTAATCGTGGAATGACACACAGTGTCAGGAAGGAAAGAATTTTAGCTAATAGAAATTTTAAAGCATAGAAAAAGAACACTGATGTCAAAACAAACTGACCTATGCCATCAGCACCAGATCCTTTTTGTCTGAATAATCTGATCCAGAATCTTGCAAACTTCTATTTTACAATACATACTAATCATGACAGAAAAAACACATCTCACAAGGCTTTCAAGAGTAAATGTGTGTCTTGAAAGAAATAAAAAACTATTAGGCTGACATTTCAATGAATAGTAAGTAATTTTAATGTAATCTCTCTTAATGCCAATGTCTTGCAAATTGTTTGAATCAACCAATGCATCTAATTTAATCTGCTTGAAATGAAAAAGATTGAGGCTTAACTCTCTTCTTACTCAATCAGAAGTGAGTACCAGGATTGATTTATGCTACTTTTAACTTGGGTAAACAAATCAGAGGGAATTCAGGCTTCAGTTCCTTTATCTAAACAGAAACCAGCAGGAGGAAGCATTAAAATGCTATAAACATCACCAAATATGATCACTCTAAAAATTTTTTTAAAAATAAATGTTAGTAATAACATAAAAGTTTCATTTTCACTACACTATCTTAGACACGGCGGTCCTGTATACCTTGAATATCCAGAATTTCCATCAACACTTTTAATGTACAACCATACTGCTAGATAAATATTTCTTCTTGATGGATATTGTGTAAATTTGAACAGCAAGCTACACTGCAAGCTCACCATACATAAGAGGTTCTGAGGTAGATAAGCAGCATCATCCCTACAGAAATGGTAAAAAGATTAATTTCTCTACTTCAACAACTTTTTCAGTAAGAATAACACATTTCACCCTTTGAAAGACTTAACTTCACAGTAACTGGAATAATGACCGGAAAGGAAATTAGTATGTGCTTAGCCCAAAAATTCTCAAAGCACAACAGAATGCGTCAAAAGTTTTAATTGTGATGACTTTGATACAGAAGCCATGTAAGTGACAGAGCCCTTCTATTGACTGTTAGAACAGTAATATACATATGATTGTCTTCAGGCCCCAGTACCTAAACAATACTGGAATTAAAAAAAACAATAATAAATCAATCTAGCTGATTTCCAGCTGGAGAGGGAAGAGAAATATTCATGCATTCATGCATTTTATGGGAAAGATTGCATAGCTAGTTTAGAAAGAAAATGTCTTTTCATGTCCTTGGTGGTAGTTCTGTGCTTCTTTAACTTCTTCATGAGTTACAGATGATCATATTCTTCCATTCAACATTATCAGCCCATAGAATGAGTAAAATGCAGGACCCTTTTTAGGAATAAGGACACACTTTTAACATTTATCTTGGGAAGAAATGAATCATGTATGTAGTTATCATATACAAAAGGCAAATATTTCAAGTTTCATAAGGACATGACAATCCATAAAGTATTGGTTGAAGGTAAGCACCAAACCCAGCAACTGCCATTTCAGTGACTGAAAGGCAAACCTGGGATGTGGTTGTCTTCAACACTGGGAGCTTGATCTTGACTGCAGTTCTTTCACCCAAGATAATTTCCATGCAAGATCCCCAGCTGTACAACACAGTGATAGAGGCATCTCATTATTTAAGGCCCATGCTTTCTTCCAAATACTCTTGGAAAAGTCACCAAAGCTAATCTTTCTGTCAATCTTCTTTTTTTTTTTGCGCTTTTAAGAGCAGTATTAAATATTCACAAATATAAAAACTATGTGGAAATACCTTTAATAACTTTCTCATTCTGCCTGTTTAAAAAAAGAAAAAAAAAAAAAGAAAAACCACAAGCCAACAACCAACCATCTCTGCCAGAGTGCTTGGCCAGCAGTGGAGATAAAAATGTGACTGTTCCAAATATCCTGTGGATCACATGATGCTTCTGTCTCCTTGTGGACCAGAACTATTGCAGTACTTTCTGCTGAGTTCTAAGAAGCCATAATTAGAGGACAAAAGCCCCCAAAGTGCCTGAGATTCAGAAAGGCTGGACTGGCAAGTAATTTCTGATAACACTGGCTCACAGAAACCTCTTCAGATTCTTATGTGGAAAGTACTGCAAAGGAAAGAAAAAGATTAAGAGATATAAACACATTTGTCATTACAACATTTTTCTTAAAGTACAAAAAAGAAGGCGCTGTGTAATGAATCAGAATCTCTTCTCTCACGCTCTCAGAAAGAATTAAACATTCTGGGAGAAATTTCCATCTTCTGAAAATGTTAGCTCAGGGGGCCAAGCTCAGCACTAGATTAAATCAAGTATAAATTGACCTGTTTATTGTATATAGAGCAGAGCTAAACGTTTCCCAATGGTACTTTTGCTATGGCACAGCATTTGGGTTCTTAAACAAGTCAAATTAGGCAGATAAATCTGTTGTTTCTCTTGCTAGGACCAAGAGATCCTGATTGTTATCTTCTTTCTATTTGCATTATGATACAGGCAAGCAGCATGCTTTACTACTGCCATGAGTTTTCAGAACAACTCCTGAGCATCTTAGCAGGACAGTAAAAGACAATTTAAAGAGGACATGTTGAAAGCTCACTTTCTCTAGGTAGTAATCTCTGTTCAATGTCACAACAGTATAAACTGTATGTTTCTTTCTTTCTTGACTGAAATCAGAATTTTTGTATGTAAAAACTATAATTTTGATGTCTACACCGAAAGAAAATTTTAAAGGTTTGGAATATATGAGAGTCTGAAGAGTAATGGATGTACAGGTTTTGGATTTTGTTTTACAAAAAGAATGCTCTAACTTAATCACAGCTATTTGATTTGAATCAGGAATTCACTGAAGGAAGCTCTGTGGTATGTGTTTGGAGAAGATAAAATTTTATATTCACAGTGGTCCCTAGGAACTTTGTATCTAGGGGTTTATTCAACCTGGGTGACACTGAAAGATATGACGTATAGCAGTCTGGCATACTAGCCTAAGTATCATGAAAGAAAGCGTACAGTGATGCAAATTGCTTACCAGCACTAAGGTTTTAGAAAAAAAGAATTATAAACATCTTGTTCACAACTCAGGAAATGTCTAGAGCCCCATACTAATCAAAACTCGTGAAAATTTAAGTCCACATAGGAAGTATCTAGGAACTAAAAATCCACAGCATTGTATGTGAAAACATTTTAGGCATGTCTTCTTAAAAAAAAACCCACATCCAAATCCACTTCACTGGAAAGATATTTATTGGAAATTTTTGTATTTCTATCAGAGTATCATTTTGGACTTTGGAGATTAAGCTTTTTACTTAAGAGGCAGCTGAAATATTCTGTGAAAAACACTGACAGAAATTACTCCCTTCCACTGTTTTCTTGCTAAGCATCTCTTGCCAATTTGTCACTAGCTCTAATTTTGGTCCTTAAGAACTACATAATCTGCACGTTGGGACAGGTCTTACGAGATGCACATTTCCTGTAAAAGAGCTTCTGTTACTTCAGCTTTAAGTAGGACTGGAGTCACAACATCAACTGTTACACAGGTAAAGGCCCCCAAAAGTTTCAGAAATACTGCATTTCCAAAGACATATTTTTGTTTAATCTGTTGTTTCTCTGTCTAGTTCTGGCAGCATCCAGGTGTTACTTATGCCACATTCTTCTCAAACTCCATTTCAAATTGTTATAGTATTTTTCACCCTCAGGCATTCAAATAAGCTTAAGCTTCCAGGATGATTTATAAAACGATTTCCTGTGGAAAATGTAAACAGTCTTGTAGAACAGAACACTTAGCCAGTTCAGACTGCTAATACTTCCATTAAACTACAAGCACCTTCTTAATGATAGCAATTTTGAGTGAAATAAACCTACTGGGATCAAATTTTCTGAACTAGCAACTGTCATTATTATTTACAGCTTGCTCAAGCTTCTGGGATAACAGCCAAAAATGCATATCCTCTTCCCTGGTCAATGATTAGCAGTATTTTCTTCTAGTCTTAAAAAAAATTCCTCAACCACAGCAGTGCAAATCAAGCAACAGACTTTACTGCATCTTCATTTGCTTGACAGCAGTACAAAGCTTGCAAAGGCTGTCTGTAGGAGATTAAACCTACACAGGGTCATTAAGTAAAGGTTTGAGAAACAAGTGATGAGATAAGGAAAATCAGTCAACATACAGTGGATGAACTTTAGCTTATACTAGGTAAAAGCCTGGATCATGGTGCCAAAATGAATGCCTGCTGTATATACTAAGTATGCATGATAGTATGACAGCTTAAAAAAACGCAACATACTGAGCTGTGTGAAAAAAAGCACTTCAAAAACAGAGTGTACATTGTTATAGGAATCTGGCCTTCAAAGGTTTTCCACAAACAGGGTAAAAAAGGTATTCCTCCTCAGTAATTTCATACCTCATTTTAGTGATGATGAGATTTTACAGTTGGATAGTTCATATTATAAAAGAGTTCTCAATGTTTGTCAGAAGTCAGGTAAGCACTGGTCCCATGTAACAGAGCAGAGAGAACAAAATGATCTATGGCTTAGCAGAGATCACCTGCTCAAGCAATGGCAGAGCCAGGGATAAAACCTAATTGCCTTGCATCCTAAGTTCCCTACTCTTACAATGTGAAGAAGTGGCTTTTGGTGGGAGGAAAAGGCAAAGAACAGAATAAGAAATCCTCTACTACAAATAAAAATCATCTGGGGTCTGGTAAGTTAGTCAATACTTTCAGAAAGGATCACATACCAGGTGCCAGTATGGTATTCTGGAATCAGATATTCAGAAGTGTTGATTGCCCATAGCTTCACAGCAAAGTCTCCAAAAACTGCAGTTACCTACCATCTCCAATTGCTTACTAGCAATAATTTACAAAAGTGGCTATTGCTTTGGTTCCTAGGTATTGAATTTTCACAGCTGCTGAGCAGTTGAAAGTATCAATCAATAGGCACTTAGGCTTCCTTGAATTTAAAGTCTGGAATGCATTTGGTTGGGCACAGAAAGTGGAGAGATGCAAAACCAAATGAAATTATCGCTGCCTCTGGACATCGATAGGGTGGTATTTCTTCCACACACAGAAGATTTAAAAAAGGACAATTTTATTTAGATGAAAACATGTTTTCATATCTTTTTACAATATTAAGAAGATACTTCAGGCATAAGTTTACCACTGGCATATATGGTTGTTAATCCACTGTTAAGACAGTTCCTGTGCTTTGCATGTTCTGTATTATATTACATGTCAAACTGCACAGCCCTGTCTTCAGTTTGGCTGCATGCAGCCTATGGTTATCACTTAAAAGGACCATTACAGCTGAAGACACAGAAGAGAAGAAAATGAGAGGCCATGAATTGAGCTGGAGATAAATTCAGAAAGACAAAAGAAAGCATTGTTTCATTAAATAAATAGGTAATGTGTTGAAGACTGTTATGGTGTAATTCAACTCAATGAGTAGGAACTGGTTTTTTTGTGGTGAGAGATCAGCTACAGGAATTGCACTCTTGTTCCATGTCATACATTCTGTCACATGCTAGCATGCATTGGCTACTATCAGAGAGCACTGGTTTAGTTTCAGTCTCCAATCAGATCTTGGTGTACCTACTGTGGCATTAAAATTCAATGGACCCCATTCCAAAAATCAAATCACTGTCTCCCTTTAGAAGGCAACATTTACACAGTATTTAAAAAATGAGAGTAAGTGGCTCAGATCAGGAAGTTCAGTATTAAATATGTACGTCTATGATGCAGTGCATACAGCAAAAATATGACTAAGAATGTCCTCGAAAAATAAAATACCTTTACAGGCAAAATGAACAGTAAACCATAATAAGGGAGAGGTATCAAGTCTTCTACAGATTGGTTTGGATAGAAATGGTCTCATGACCTTGTCACCTTCTTTTCCTGCAGCTGTTAACTCTGGCTGAAACAGAAACCAAATCAGAGAAACTACACATTCTCTTCTTGGCTCTGAGACTTTTTCCATTTACACCCTCATTTTGCCATATAGCTTCAAAGGTTAAAAAACCATGTTGCTGAGTTAACAGTCAGAGGCTCTAAACCAGTGTTTCAGCTGGAAGGTGGAAGGAAACCCTTCTTTAGGTCATGTCACATCAGGAGCTCTTAAGCCTGAGGACTTCACAGCTGAATCCTGTGACCCACCTAATCTCCTGGACCTGAAAGGAGAGGGAAGTTACCATTTCCCTTGAAGCCAGGGATGGAAAAAATCTGCCTAAAATATACACATTGCCATCTTGAACATTTAGGAGACATCTTGATAACATGAGTTCACCATTTCACAAACATGGATCAAAGTATATGCGTTTAAACTGAGCAACTGGATGATCAGTCTTCCAATACTTGGTAGCCTTGTCCTTTGAGATTATAAGTGTTGTCAGTGATCCCTCCCTATTTTCTCTTTACCTAATCCATAACAAGCTCTGTACTTTTCACTTCATCCCTTTTTACTAATTTCCTTGCCCTGTTGAGTACCCAGCACTCAGGTCTTTCCATTCACTTCGTCAGTTTCCCAAAACATCACAAACTTGGAAAAGAAAAATAATTATGACAGTCATTCCAATGGCTATAGTGGCAAATATTCCTCTCTGCTAGTTTCTCAGGAAGTGAATGGATTGCACAGCATCCTTAGCTTGGAAGTCTCAGTCAGCAGTTTGCGAGCCTCTACAACACAGCAGTACAGTCAGTCATGGCACGGGAAACTTCTGAAACTACAGCTTCTGCCGAGTCTTCAGATCTGCCTTCAATTCTTCACATTTGATCTCTGTTCTCTACCCGTGGTACAGTACAGCCTTTTGATTGATTAAAAACTCTCCCTGACCCCAGCAGCTTCTATACGGATAACAGTATAAAGAAAACATTTTCTTAGCTGGAAATATATGTAAACAAAATATTACAATACCTACTCAGCTCAGCCTCACCATAACAATGATATGTGTCTTGTTCTAAAAGAGTTTCCGTTGATACACTTGATTAGTCAAGGAATGTCCGATATGTTTCTACTGTATAAAAGACATTCACATTAACTTTGTAGCATATCCTCTCCAGATGCTGATATTTCTCAGGGTTCACAGGAATCATGTCCTCATGCTTTATTGTAGAATCATTTTGTTATAATGTCTTTCCTCAGAAATTTCATTTATGAAAGAAATAAACTGTTCTGGGCTCTGCAGAAGACTTAGACGTTCTTAAGATCACCAGTCCAAATTTTTACCTATCTTAATGCTATCCTAACCTTTATACTTATTTCCTGTGAAAATACAGTTTATTCAATCAGTCTGTGAGCTTTGTTAATCTTCCCCAGTAACTTCTGAATCCTTTGGCAGAATTCAACAACACGTGACTTAAAGATGATTAAGTTTCTGCCAATCTCCTGCAAACAGGCAGCTGTGTAAAAAAGTGTCTCTAAGTGTTCCACTTCACAGAAAGATGCAAAATAATTCCGCACCCTTCCAGACATCAGAAAATCTACATAGATGAACCAGTCTTTGTGCCTTAACTGCAGCAAAAAATTGAAACTAAACTCCTTCTCAGTTATCAGCCAACTAATCAGGAGACACAAGTCTGCAGAAACTAGAATTTACTAATTCCAACATTCCCAAAACAATTTACAATCATACTGTATACCTGCTTGCAGTCAAGACAATCGTTGGATTATTTATCTTCCCAGACGTTAGAACTTAAGTGTTATTATCAATTATCACCAGACAAACAGCAACACTACTAACTTAACAACAATGTGTACAAACAAAGAATATGAAAAACTTTTTCAGGTTATCAAGCATTGACTATCAAACATAGTTAACCCAGACCACTGAAATTTGGGGAGAAATTAGACCTAGGTTTTAGCTTCAGCCTACTCTGCCAGTGGATTTAAGATTCAAATATGAACTCCTGCCAGTCTAGGAGTATCTTATTCTGCTGGCTAGTTCTCTGTCATTTCTTAAAGAAGGCCTATCCTTGTATTACTTAAACTTATAATTAAGGCTGTTACTTATATAGAATGTTTTATTAATGTGTAAAAATAAAAAGTCATTGTCCTTTTCAAAAGATCTCTTTAGATATGAAGTGTGCAAGAAAAACTGTCTTAAGATAGCTGGGTTTTATCTACAGATTATTAGGAAGAAACAGCAACAAAAATAAAAAATTATAATAAAACCCCTGATTAACAGTGGATCGAAGAAAGACTGCAGTAGTTAATCATTTTAATTTGCACACATTGCTATTCAGACAGCATGGATCCTTGCTATAGGCTTGAGAACAATATGAATTTGAGCTTATAACAGAGCAAAATATTTTCCTGAACAAACCACACAAACAGGGAAGAAAAAAAAAGGGAGATAAAAGTCACTGAGCTCTTAGTCTTCAGGTTAGGAGAGTACTGGAATATGCTCTATAAAAATAAACTGAGTTAGGGTAAGAAGTCATCCTCTAGTCAGCTCTCTAGTAAAGTACTTATGTCTAACATTTCTTGTATTACACTATGCAGCAATTTCTTAAAAAAAATACCTGAAAATATGCAAGAGACTATCTTTTTCTTAAAACAATACCTGAGAAAGTCCGGTGCTTTGGAAATCATGTTTTCAAAATCTGCAAATCCTAGTTTCCCATCACCATCCATGTCAGCTTCTTCTATCACTTTCTCGCAAACTAAAGTGATTTCTTCTGCTGTTAGCTCTTCTCGGGTCAGCTTATTGAGGGTTTTTTCCAAGTCTGATTTACAAATGAAGTTATCTGTGTTAAAATCTAAACAATAAAAGAACCAAAGAAAAGATCACCAACAACTCTCATAGTGATTTAGTCCAAACAAAAAAGGCATACAAAAGCATCCCAATACAGTACCATAGATCTTAAAGGCATAGATTGCTTTAAGCTCTCTGGGAGCCATTTCACTGAGCACAGAGAACATATCCACAAAATCATTGAAGCTGAGGCTTCCCTCTCCATCTTCTGAGAAAGATTCCACAATCCTTTCCTTGAAGGGATTCTCCTGTGAAAAACAGATACATATTTTTTTTATTATTATTATTTTTCAGTATTTGGAAGACCAAAAAGCTGCAGACTCCCTGTTAATGAGTAATTAATTCCATGGTTGGCTCTCTGAAGACAGCTCTTCTCCTTCCAAAGTGCATCTAAAAATTTACATTTGCATGCTTTAGCACAAAGCGTCAGCAGAACGCGCTGCTGCATGGTACCACTTCTTGCCCAGATTTTCTCAGCTCCAATGTTACTCATTCTCTCTAAACTGGTGCTCATCTTGTTTCTCCTGGGTGGAACACATACTTTATAAATGTTAGGGTAAAGGTACTAAGAGTGTGAAGGTCATTTGCACGTAACAGGTTCCTGACAGGGTGGCAGACTGACATGGTCAGGAGGGTTACAGCTCCTATATTAAGAAGCTAGCACACACAAACAGAGGATGATAGAAGGGGAAGGAAACAGGGAGACCAAGGTAGAAAGCCAATAAAACAAACAGGGTCTTTACATCTTCTGGTGGCACCTAAGTGAAGGCTGGATGAACAAATACTGTCTATGAAACCACTTTAAAAAGGAAGTATTTGCATTCCACACCTGACTGATATGGAACCATCAATCAACCCTCAACCAAACCATGTCCGTTCACTAAGGATGTTGAGTAACATCCCAGTAGAATCTTGCAGAAAAGTCTTTCATTTTCTCTCTGATACACGTCAATGTCCAACCCTCTGGTTGAACTGACTACAAATTCCAGAGTTTTAAATGAAATTTCATCTCTGCAAGAGATGACCCTGAAAGATCCTTTTCTAGCACCCTACCAACCCAGCTGGTGTCAAGGCTACTCTGAATAAGACAATATTCAAAAACCATAAACACACAAGCAAGCATAAGAAAAGCTGCTTTACTACTCTGAAGTCCAAAACAATTGTTTTTAATGTAACAAAACAACATCTTTCTCACAGCTATACAAAAACCGAAAATGAATTTGTAGCTATGGCTATAAAACTGGGAAAATCAACTCAATTCAGCTGAAAGTGAGTAAAACACAAACATCATTTGGACTTTGAGCAGCCTCTAATCAAAGCTGTTCTACAGATCTTATCTGAAGTCAAGACACCAATTAACATATTGATCTCCTATAAAAGTCATCAGCTTTGGTGGTGGCATATCATGTTTATTATTTTTAACATGCATGCAGCATTTTATTTGGCTTTAAAAGAAGCAGTATTGTGAAAGCTCGGAGCTCAATCATATATCCATTTCATGTCTTTTTATCTCCAAGTTTAATTAGCTAACAGGTATTCACAAACCATCCAATTATTTTAAATGAAATTTCATAAACCAGCTATATTTGAGAGGTAAATTACTAGAAAATGTTATTTTTCAGTTTACTTGAATTCTTTCTTGAACATCTAGAACAGATGCATCTATAGAACACATTTTCTGCATACCCGTGGAAACTAAAAAAAAAATACAAGCAGCATGTACAAAGCAGAGTTACATGAACAGACTGATGATTTATATTTCTGTAGTATCCTTCATCTTAAAGGAATGTAAAGTACCTTACAAGAATTGGGCTACTTACCACTAATATGCAGCTGCCTCAAGTGAAATTCAACAACTGTTAAATGGTTTGCAGCAGCTTACAACTTACAACTAAAGCTGAAGATAAAGATGTTCAACTGAAATCACAGGGGGAACTTGGAAGCATAATGAAATTTGTCACCCACACAGACATAACATTTAAGATACATTTTGTTATAGCCTCAAATAATGAATAAATTTTAAGGATTCTTGCTAAAAGACAAGCATAACATACAAAAGCTTAATTTCTCTAAGAGAAATGTGAGGTGTGACTGTGCATGCGGATATTTCAAAGAACATCCAGTTCCTGGAAAGCAGCCTTCCTTTTTTCTTCAGGTGATGGGTCAACGTGTAGATTCACACTATGGGACGACACTTTGCAGTGTCTAGTTCCGAGATGCAAGTACAGAGATGTGGTCAGACATTTGGGTACAAGGCGTGGATTGGTCAAGGCTATACCACACCTACATACATTTGTCAAGTCATATCACCTGGCAAATTTAAGAACACATTTCAGTGGCCATGCCAGCTGGAACTTTGAGATACTTTTTCACAGAAGCAATAATGGCCATCCACATCCTCAGAGAGCATACCTGGTTCTATTGGGAGGTTTCTATTTAATGGTTACAAAGCACTCAGGATACATCAACTATCTAATGCGATGTCTTTGGGTCTTGCGGTTTGCACTCTAGGACTACTTCCATGGTAGATATTAGTTGGAGTCTGCCAAAAGGCAAATATCCATCTAATGACAAATCAGTCAAAGTGTCAACCTTCCAAGGATGGGTGAGATCTGAGAAACAGACAATGGAAGTGTAATTCCCTGAGACAATCAAGATTCAAAATGCACCACTAAATGCCAAGATCTCTCCGTCCTTCTGGCTAAGATAATGGCCAGGAATAAGGCTGTTTTAATGGATAGGTGAAATAGGGACCACAGAGCTGTAGGCTCAAATGACAGCCCATTAAAGTAGTCAATACTAAATTCAAATTCTCCTACAGGGTTCAATGACTGAAGTAATTCCACAATAGGGACCATGCCTACATTTTTCAAAGGGCAGGAGATTAATGAGCTAACTGTGCTCTGAGCTGAACATGTAAGGCTGAGCTCACTGTTCAGATGAAGACAAAAGCAGGCCAAATAAAAATAAAAAAGAAATTAAATAGAGAGAAAAAGAGGGATTCCTGAAAATAAAAAAAGACAACAGCCTCAAAAAAGCAGCAGGGTCACATCTCTCAAGAATCTCAGAATGAAAAACAACACCCCAGAACTAGCCAGATGGCTGAAAGTCATTGTAAAGGGATACATAATGATCACTCGCATCATGTGCATGATGTGTAGAGGAGGTATAGCAGATGTGCATCTGTGGGTACTGCTAAGGCTAAAGTATCTGACTTGAGTGCTTGGAAATATGCCTGTCTGTGATACGAATATACATACAGACACTCTGGAAAACAAGTAATTCTATTGTTTCAAATTGTCAGTTTATTAATAAGCCAAAGTAAGATTCATTTGGGCTGGAAAAGGCCCACTTTCTTCCTAAAAGCACATAAAAAATTGGTGTATCTGTTAAATGTTTAATACTACAGAATGCTAAATATCAGAGTGGACAAGAAAACATGTTAGAAAAAATTGTCTTTTTTATTTCTAGAATATTATATTGCTTTCTTTGGAACAAACCTCATCAGAAGTTTACAACTGTTACCATGACACTGACATCTTAGAGGCAGCATTGGATAACAAACAGGGGGCACACAGATGCAAATATCCCTATCAGCAGGGAATATCAAACCCAGGACTTTCTGCATTAAAAATGCTAGGCATAATCTCTCTGACTTAATAAGCATATTGCAGTTGCATAAGATGAATTATCTGTTTGGCATGTTGGAGATCTCAAAAATACAGATGAATTAACGATGAATTAAATGGACCTAAGCATACTTTTTAAGTAACTCTTTGCCAAATGGATCTCTAAAACCTAAATGAAAAATAAAATCTTTCCTCATATTGATTTCTTTCCTTTAACTTTCTCATATTATGTGTCTTCAGGCAGTATATCTGTAGCTTACACAATGGAAAGTATTAGCTTACCTTCACAGATACTTTTCACATCCTTTTTGTAATTTCATTACCTCTACTCTAAAGAGCACAGATTAGGGTTCCATCATATTTAAAGGAAAAGCCATGGGGGAAGGGATTAAAGGGAAAATGATACTGTTCCTTCCTAGACTGTTTTCCCTTAAGCACTAATTGTTTAAAGAAGAATCCTTTTAAAACTAGAAACTCACACTTGTATTGTTAAAAAGCTTTTTCTGTCCTCTCACAATAAAAATGAGAGGGGAGACAGAAACAATAAATAATTATTACAGCTAAAACTCTGCTGTTTTGCAGATTGATGCTGCTGTAGTGGCTTGAGTTAATCCTCCTAAACGTGCCATCCATCTTTTTAACAATCACTTTTTCTACTCAGATAATTGTGTTTCTATACATTTTTGAATGTCATGCGGCATCTATTCCAACATACAGACCTAGAACACCATACAGTAAACCACAACCATTAGTTTTCTAAGAAACTATTACAGGGTCTATTCCTGAGACTGCAGCTAAATCTTACCAAATCACTTGTTATGTTCCCCTGTTCTCTAGTTTCCATCACAGGCTCTAGGAAACCACTGCATTGTCCTTTTGCCCTATTCATTTTTGCAGCTTAATGAATTGATTTAAAGTGCTGTGTCTTATTTTCACAAGCTGACTGCATTTTGGAAATAAGAAGTTGCAAGTAAAGTTGTAAGATATGTCAAGATAACTAAGCTGGAGATGCTGGACAGTCATAACAAAATGTTTCTCGGTTTTATATCCACAGAAACATGATGATCATTTTCTCTTTTTGTTTGAACATAAGTCCCCACTGACATTAGCGAAAATATTTAAATGCAAAAAGCAGTCTGCAGACTACTGAAAGCCAGAATCCCTTTGGATATTTTAATCAGGACTTGTTCAGAACTGATCAGAAGCAAACCCTTCTGAAATTTCAGGAGTTATTCCTAAAAAAATAGAAATGAACTCTTATCAGACAAACATCAATATAAAAATGGCTAGATTATTCATTACCAGACCTCCATAGGAGAGGCTGGTGCTTTGGAAGGGAAGCATAGCAAGTGCAAAAACAAATTGTCCCTGGAGCAGATAAAAGCACATTTGTTTGTTGGATTTTTTTTTTCCTTTTCTTCTTCCTCAAATCAGTAATTTTTTTTTTTCATGTTTAGATCATTATATTCATGTCATCAAACTTCTTTGCAGTGCCTACAGGGTATCAATTAAGCAAACCCTGCACAAACCAAGGCTAAGATACAGCTAAATTAATACATTTATATCTTAAAAAAAAATGACCACCTCATTCTGTCAGTAAGCAGAAATGTTAAGACAGA